GGGGGGGTTAGAGTTCGCCTGGCAGAGATGGGGAGAATATCATTCCTGGTGCTTATGCCATTAAAAAAAGTCGGCCGCCAATGCGGAATGTTGCGCATCTTGGTGATTTTATGTAGATTATCAGAGCACCGATTTTATTATGTATGAAATATTGTTTTACTGTTTTAAATTTTAAATTCGGCATTGCCACTTGTTAGCCGCCCTGAGCCACTGGGTAGGGCGGGATACAAATCCCAAAATAAATAAAATAAATAAATAAATATATGATTATATATGTATGTTATTTTATTGTATCTGGTATCATATTTAATAAATATATTTCTGGTATTAATGGTAGTTTTATTTTTAATGTATCTAATAATAGTTTATGTATTTTTTCCCAAAAGGTCTGAATTTTACCACATCTCCACCAAATGTGGAGATATGAGCCTATATTTTTTCTGCATCTCCAACAAATATTCGAAGCTTTCGGGAAATTTTTGCAATTTTTACTGGAGTCCAGTGCCACCTATAGAGCATTTTGTATATGTTTTCCTTATATGGAGTCGCTCTTAAATATTATAGTGTTTTCCATGTTTTTGCCCATTGGTCTCTTTTTATTGTATACCCTAGCTCTTTTGCCCATGCTGTCATTGACGTTTTGGTAGTTTCCTCCTGTAGATACTCCTCTAACAGTTTTTTTAATACCATTTCTGAATTAATTTGTCACTTGAAGACAGCCAAATTTTATCAATTTCGTTCGGACCAGTATAAAAACCTGTTTTTATCTTCATTATATCTTGATTGTAATAAATTTTTTCCCACCATGATAGTTTTATTTTTTGTTTTATTCAAGAGTCTGACAATAGGGCTTTAAAGGTAAGCACCAACACCTTGAAATGGATCCAGTACTCAATAGGCAGCCAGTGCAGTTTGCGTAGCACCAGGTGCATCTGCGTCTACACAGACGACAAAGTCAGCACCCATGCGGCTGCATTCTGCACCAGCTGCCGTTTCCAGAGCAGAATCAAGGGCAGCCCCACCAATGTTCCCTCTAAGCTGCGGAGTCTTGAGAGCAAAAATTCTGCTTTGTGTGCTACCGGCATTAAAGTTGTGAGCGGGCGATTTGGCTGCTGCATAAAGCAGTTTGCTTTGGAGCCCTCCTTTCCGAGCTAAGACAAAAATGTGTGAGCCGGAGGCTAAAAAACTGTGAGCTAGCTCACGCTAACTCAGCTTAGAGGGAACACTGAGCCCCACATACAGAGAACTACAGTAATCCAATCTGGAAGTGACCATTGCATGGGTCACTGTAGCCAGATCCCGGGGAGTGAGATATGGGGCCAACTGCCTGATCTGTCTCAGATGGAAAAAGGCAGACCTGGCAGTTTCAGAGGCCCAGTAAAACTCCTTGTGGCCATGAGAGTTTTTAACTTGCATTTGTATTTTTATACTTGGGTATTACTACTCATCCCAAAACTTGGAAATCAGAGTGAACTGGAGAGCTAGAAAAACTAGACATAAGCTTTGGCTTGCACATTTCCATTCCCATTTGGAGTTCACGGTCTTGATTCATCAGAACAGCATGATGCTATTTCCTATATTAATAATGCTCCTGAGGGCTTCCTTCCAAGAAAACTCCTCACTGCAGAAATGGTTCTAATTCCTTAAGTTCTCCTTGTATATAAGAGGACCAGATTCTTGTCCAAGCCTGAAGGCTTACTGCAGAGAAAAATCTGAGTTCTGCCTGGCTGAAGCAACTGCCCGGAGAGCAGCGTGGAAACACAAGAACAGAGATTTGGGTGCCATTACCATGCAGTGGGGAGATTTGGGTGCCATTACCATTGAGCTGCGGTGGCTCAAGTGGTTCAGACGCTGAACTGCAGGCTGTGGAAGGTCGGTAGTTCAGCAGTTCGAGACCCAAGTGTGCCGCATGACGGAGTGAGCTCCCGTCTCTAGTTCCAGCTCCTGCCAACCTAGCAGTTCGAAAGCAAGAAATTGCAGGTAGATAAATAGGTACCACTTTGGTGGGAAGGTAACAGCGTTCCATGCGCCTTGGTGTTTAGTCATGCCGGCCACATGACCACGGAAACGTCTTCGGACAGCGCTGGCTCTTCGGCTTAGAAACGGAGATGAGCACCGCAACCCTAGAGTCGGATTCGACTGGCTTTCGAGCAAGGGAACCTTTACCTTTTTACCATCCAGTAGGGCAGCAAGATGGCACAGGGTAGCCTGACCTTGACAGATCTTAGAAGCTAAGCAGAGTCAGTATTCGAATGGGAGACCACCAAGGAAGGCTGTAAGGGAAGGCACAGGCAAACTTGCCTTGAAAGCCTCTTGTGGGTGGCCAAAATCGGTTCTGACTTGACAGGATTTACATCTCCACCATGTCTCTGTGCTGGGTCCGAGCCCCATCTCTGCCACAGGTACATTGCCTGGCTGCAGGCTCTCTCGGCCTCGGTTTCCCATGTGTGAACTACAGCATTTGGGAGAGTCGAGTAAAGAGAGATTTTAAAAAACCCTTCCCAAATGAAAGCTCTGGCTACCAACATGAGTAGCAATGTGTGTTATGCAGATCACTGCAGCAGTCCCCAGTGAGAGGCCAGGGACTGAACATTCAGACAAGGCAGGTACTCCAATCTCTTGAGTCCTAGTCCCTCCCAAAAGAGAGGAAACACCGCCACAGACCATCCTGGAGCAAAACCTGCCATTACAGTCCCCAGGCTGAGCAAACCCCCTAATCTTTCAGTGCGATCTCACACACGGAAAAAGGCAAAAAGCAGACTGCGGTTTTCTGATCCTGTAACACAATTTATTCAAGGTATTTACAAAAATGGCACCCCGTCCATTCCCTTGGGAGCTGCTCTTGCTTACAGACGCTCAAGGAAATTCTTGTCCAGCTCAGCTGCCAAGGCTGGGATAAAGCTGCCCTTCGTGCCGGGTCCCATTCACAAGGAGATCCCTGTTCCCCTCTGTAACATCGGGGGCAGCTCTATACAGCAGTCTCTACAGAAACGGGCATCTGTGAAGTGGAGGATGTGAGGAGCAAGAGACTTCCTTAGGTCTTTATGGCTGTGTCGCGAGACTTGTAGGCCACCCCGCGGCTCTTCAGCTCTCGCACAATCCCTACGGCAAAGAAAAGCAAAGCACTTGTGAGGGACGGAAAAGAGGGGTGAGTCCTGCTGTTGACCTCTGGTGCTGTGAGTGAGGCATGGGGAACTGGTGCTTTCCAAAGCATGCCATGCCATGCTGAGCTCTCATACTGGCCCATGAGACAACGGTGGGGGTGAGCAAGCATCATTTTGAGGAGTCTTACTAGCTCAGACCAAAAGATCCCCCTGGCCAGCCCTGTTTCAACAGCAGCTAACAACTTGCCTCCTGGAAGACCGCAAGGGTGGCAAGAAAGCAAAAGCCAGCAGAAGGCATTCAGTGGAACACTGCCTCTGAACAGATAAGCCCCATTCAACTATACATTGCTAAGAGCCACCGACAGGCCTTTCCTCCTCCATGAAATCAGCCCATCCCCTTTTACAGCCATCTAAGGCAGTGGCTATCTTGTGCCAGCTAATTCTGCATTTAGTTCATCAATGCTGCTCCTGCTTCCTTTCCCCTTGGTCTGGATTCTCATACTGCTTCCCCAGCCCCACCCCCCGCCCCAGAAATACATCCAAACTCTTCCCTTCAAGGCCCCGAATGCCCAAGGCTTCTGCTTGTTTATTCGACAGCCGGGCAAGACTTCCAGTTCCCTGGCCCTTCCAAAGACAGCCACGCAGATTACCTTGGGGCAGACGGCCAGTCACGGACACTGCATAGACACCTGGCTTGAAGTTACCTGAGAGGGGAGGACATTTTGAGTTACTGCTGTGAAGCAGGGACCAGCATCACTAGACAGACTGGGTTTGGGAGAAGGTGGTCCAGCCATCCAGCACAGCCATGAAGCAACAGAGACAATCTAGCTTACAGGGATGCCCCCAGGATAAATGAGAAACTAAACCTCTTAGAAAACAAAGCATCTACAGAAACTAATAAAAGTAGATAGCCCCCACTCTGAGATGGTGAGAAAACGAGGCTTATAGATAGGAACTCTCAGTCTGGGGCAAGTGATGCACTGTATTCTTGGTGCTTGGGGGGGGGGCAACAGTGGGAGGGCTGGTATTTTTGGCCAGTGTGTGAGAGAGTGTTGGACTGGATGGGCCATTGGCCTGATCCAACATCAGTCTCTTATGTCCTTATGTTCTCTTATGTCCTTATGTTTCAAATGCAAGCATGAAGCCAAAGATGTAAAAAAAAAATCAACTCTAAGATTTAGATCTATTAACACAGCATCTCAACAATCACAAGTCCTGCATATGACAAAATATACTCAGAAATATGATAGTGGGCATGCATATACACCAAACCCCTAGTTTGAGTGACTTCAAGGAATTTACAAGGAAGTTACGCAGTCACAGCAAGCCGTGAGGCACTGAATAAACCTTTTCAAATTGCAGACTTGCCACCAAGGTGAGGAATTGCAGGACCCTTTTCCCGGACAGCTGCTGAGACGTCAAGAGCCAGCCACAGTGCCACAAGTTAATACAAGCCCTTTGCTCTTGAAGGCAACTGACACGTATAAGGAGAGGCTTGGCTCCTTTCTTAGAGAACTTCCCAAAAGACAGATAAAAACTGTACTTGGACGTAAGCAGAAAGAGGTAGGGACTTACTGATTCGCTGCCACTTGGAGACCCAGCTGTCTTCAGGGCTCATCATTGCAATGATGCTGCAGGAACACAAAGAATGTTCAGGAACAGACACGGGAAATGGTGAGCATGCCCAAACCGCATCATAATGTATCTGAAGAAGTGAGCAGTGACTCACGAAAGCTCCGACCCTGCCACAAATTGTGTTAGTCTTTAAGGTGCTACTGGACTCTTGCTGTTTTCTAATGCTACAGACTAACACAGCTACTCATCTTGATGTATCATAATGGTTAGAGTGCTGGAATAACGACAGAGGAGATCCAGGCTCACATCCCTGCTAGGCACTGAAGCCAGCTGGGTGACCATTGGGCCAGTCACTCTCTCTCAGCTTCACCGACCTCACGGGATTGTTGAGAGGAAGGCGGGGGATGCAAAATTAGACCGTGTGGCAGCTGAGTCCAGTGTAAGCTTGTGTGTTGTGCCTGAAGGGATGCATTTCATCTTAAGTGTGTCCCTCATTGGTGCATGAAGGCGACATAAGAGCATGAGGACATGAGAGATGCCGATGTTGGATCAGGCCAAAGGCCCATCCAGTCCAACACTCTGTATCACACAGTGGCCAGAAATACCAGTGCCATCAGGAGGTCCACCAGTGGGGCCAGGACATTAGAAGCCCTCCCACTGTTGATCCTCCCCCAAGCACCAAGAAGACAGAGCATCACTTGCCCCAGAGTCCCTATCTATACCTTGTGGCTAATAGCCACTGATGGACCTCTGCTCCATATGCTTATCTAATTCCCTTTTGAAGCCGTCCATGCTTGCGACCGACAACTTAAGACAACTTGGCATACAAAGCTGGCTTATACCAACTTAATTCAAAGTTCAGGACTGCCTACTCTGACCAGCAGTTGCTCTTGGAGATCCCCAGTAGAGTGGTCTTTCCCATCCATGTTATGAGAAATCTGTTCACCTGGATTTTCCTCAGACCTCCTGCTCACATAGGGTTGCCAGGTCTGGGTTGGAAAATACCTGGAGACTTTGGGGGGGGGGTGGATCTGAGAGAGGGTGGGGTTTGGGGAGAGGTGGGGCCTCAGCATGGCACCACAGAGTCCACCATTTGAATGAAGCAGCCATTTTCTCCAGGGGAGCTGATCATTTGTAAATGTGGTAGATCTCCAGGCCCCACCTGGAGGCTGACAACCCTATGCTTGCATGTGTGCTTTGTGTGCTACCAGTGTGCTTTGGCTCTTCCTCGCAGGCCTCTGCATGCCCCTGAATGGCTTTCTGCCCTTCTGCCGAGAGAGCCAGTTTGGTGTAGTGGTTAAGTGTGCGGACTCTAATCTGGGAGAACCGGGTTTGATTCCCCACTCCTCCACTTGCACCTGCTGATGTGACCTTGGGTCAGTCACAAGCTTTGGCACAGCTGTCCTTGAAAAAGAGCAGTCTTTGTCAGAGTTCTCTCAGCCCCACCCACCTCACAGGGTGTCTGTTGTGGGGAGGGGAAGGGAAAGGAGTTTGTAAGCCGCTCTGAGACTCCAAGTGAAGGGCGGGGTATAAATCCAATCTCTTCTTCTTCTTTCCCACCTTTGTCATCCTTCATGCAGCTCATGAAGGCTCTTGCCAGCCGGGAAGCCACTGCTGCGGTGCTGCCTGCCAGGCATCCAGATCAGCGGGATCACGCGCTCCACATGCCAGAAGGGCAGGGAAAGTCCAAGGTGGGACAGTCTCAAAAATGACCGAAGAAGAAGAGCTGGTTTTATACCCTGCTCTTCACCACCCGAAGGAGTCTCGCTTACAATTGCCTTCCCTTCCTCCCCCCGTAACAGGCACCTTGTGAGGCAGGTGGGGCTGAGAGAGGTCAGAGAGCTGTGACTGACCCAAGGTCACCCAGCTGGCTTCATGTGGCAGAGGAGCGGGGAATCACACCCAGTTCTTTAGATCAGAGGCCGCTGCTCTTAACCACTACACCAATCTGGCTTTCAGGAAACAGCTGCCATCAGTAGCACCCGCCATTGCAAATCTCAGCCTGGGGAATGCAGAGCCGCTGCCGTAGCCAGTGTGGAGCGTGCTGATTTTCTTTCACCAGTGCGCACTGAGGAAGTGGCTCAAGTCACTACTAAAACCACCTACACCTCTAAGCATCCATGGAAGCTCAAGCGAACATGGTACCTGAAAACATTTCTCACAGCTGTAAAGATGACAAAGAAGTCTACTCTGTAGTATAGGCCCCTCACTCTCCAGAATGGTGGACAACGTTTTAGAAGTCTCACCCATTCAGCATGCGGGGAATGATCAGGAGGAAGGAAGGAGACATTATAAGGAGTAGAAAGTGGAATACTTAAAACCAAGGAGAGAAGCGGGGATGCATTCTGCCAGTTACTAATCCGGAACCAGATACTGTTGGCTACAGCCTGTCCGTATTATTGTATTGTCAGACCACTGGTCTATCAAGGTCACTAACATCTATTCTGACTGGGAGCAGCTCTCCACGGTCTCAAACTAGAGTCTTCTGGATCACCTACTACGTGATCCCTTTAATGGGCGATGCCAGAGATTGAGTTTGGGACCTTCTGCAAGCAAAGCAGATGCTCTGCCACTGAGCCACGGGTGCTCCCCATCTTGATCCCCCTAGCAGGGCCATCTGACTGCACTATGCATGCATTTGTCCATGTCCAGGTGTAAATATTAAGCTGACAGATGAGGGAGCAGGAACTGTTGCTCCTCACCACTGCAAGACCAACACAATCACAGCATCTACAGATGCCCCTAACTTCCCTAAGGAGGTTTCTAAAAACCTTGACTCAGATTTCGAGGCACATGCCTTCACAATCAGTAAGTCCATGGAAATGAAGATTTTTGTGGGCGTCAACCCTTTTGTGGATGAGTCTCAAGAACGATGCCAGGCTGCCAATGCTCTCTTCATCAAAGGAAGGGAAGGCACCCCGTCTCACAGCTTGCAGTAGAAAGATGAGAGGCAGTGCATGGCACACAGTCTATTAAGGGAGCTGCTGCTACTTGCGGTTTGCTTCCCTCTCCCCCCCAACTATACCCAGGGAGATAATTTAATTCTATTTCAATTACATTTATATCTACCACATAAGCTTCCCTTGGCCGCTCTGCTAACCAAGCCTTTTCAAGACCTGTTTTCTTAACTGTTGATGCTTCCTCCACACTTTTTCTTCTCTCTCTCTCTTTGCCCAACTGCTCCGAGTGACTGACTCTAACTGATCAGTCTCTCCAGTCTTGGAATTTTTAAAACTACCAATCCAGCTGCAGCTTCTCAGCCTGACCAACCACAAGGAAGCTAAGCAGTGACCAATCATATTTCAGTTCCAATGGCCTTCTTTTAAAATCACTGTCTACTGATTCCCCCCCCCCCCTCTATAACTTTGCGGTTATTTAACTAGAGCGCCTCATTTTGTCACAAGCTACTCTGAACGGAGGAAGGGCTGCTACCTGCAAATCCAAGCCAAGTGCCAGGCACACATGCAGCTGCTGATTTTGTAATGTTATTGCACTCCCAGGAGAGAACTTATACTCAGAAATCCCTGGTCATTCCCACCCTGCGTTACCACAGAACTCAACACTTAAGCTAGCTCTGCACACCAGTGAACCTCCCTGCTATTGTTTCAATGATACAGCTAGTCGTGAGCAATGTTCCCTCTAAGCTATGGAGTCCTTTGAGCAAAAATTCTCCTTTATGAGCGACTGGCATTAAAGTTGTGAGCAGATTATTTAGCTACTGCATAAATTACTTTGCTCTGGAGCCATCCTTCCTGAGCTTAGACAAAAAGTGTGAGCCAGAGGCTAAAAAACTGTGAGCTAGCTCACATTAACTCAGCTTAGAGGGAACACTGGTCGTGAGTTTGTGCCTTTCAAATGACCAGGGACAAACAACAAGTTAAGATGGTTATTTGTGATCTAACCACCAGTTCAGGTCCCCCCATATGCTTCAGTATGTCTTTAAGTTCTTTCTTAATTTTGTATGTGGCTTTTTATTGTAAAGGCTTGGAGAGGATTGCTGTGGGATGTTACTGTATTACTGTATTACAGAATGTTACTGTATTACATTATTTGTGTTCTAATGCATATTTGAATCCACGAGGACTCCCCCTCATAAGGCAGCTCACATAACACATAATTATATTCAAGATGCCTCCTTTTCTTTCACACATAGGATGACTCTCCTGTGACATCCCACCCAACCCCTGTTTTCCATTCAATCACCATGATTGTGCCAGTCTGCGTGCTTCTTACTCCCTCTCCCTCCCCCTGACCAAGACTACAGGTTTCCCCTGCATCCAACAGCAGAGAGAGGAGCTGAGTAGATCAGCTGTGCTGCCACTGTTGTGATAAGAGTTGGATAGGCTCTGGGGCAAGTGATGCTCTGTCTTCTTGGTGCTTGGGGGGGCCAACAGTGGGAGGGCTTCTAATGTCCTGGCCCCAATGGTGGACCTCCTGATGGCACCTGGTATTTTTGGCCACTGTGTGACAGAGTGTTGGACTAGATGGGCCTTTGGCCTGATCCAACACTGGCGTCTCTTATGTTCTTATGTTCTAGTCAAGGTAATAAAATAAATCAGTAAATCCTGCCCTTTAGGTCCAGCACTAGCAAAGCCACGAGAGTTGGAGGCACTGTCAGGCAGGCCAGGTAATGCAGGCCAGGCCAAATACATGAGCGGCCAAGTTGCCCCAGGCATACTTACCCATCAAAGGATGAGCTGGTGCAGTCGTAAACCATCTCACGGTTCCCTTTCATCTGTAGGTAAGAGTCGCAGTTGTCACAGCCATCAAACTCAAACTGGTCAATGGTCTGGAGAGGAGGAAGACATGAAGAATGTCAGACAAGGGAATCGGATTGAGAACTATCTCTGCTTCCTGGCCCCACAACACAGCAACTGAAAGACAGCCAGAGCACAGCCAATCCCATCCCCGTCACACCCAGCAACTAGAATTGTGCCCATTCAAAACTAGTCAAGTTAGTTATGTTCCTGTATAATATGAAAAATAATAAAAGTGTACCTAACGGGTACTTAAAAAAAAAGTTAGTTATGTTCCTCTCAAAAATAACTAACCCACAATCACACAATTAAGAAACCAATACATTGATTGCTCATCATATGCAATGTAAAACAGATCTTTTGAGAAGATCATTTGAGGGTGCACTGTGGTGAGAAGCAGGGTTTTTTTTAATAAGCATATCACAGACATTAACCCAAATCAGTTAACAATATTTATATTTAACTAGTTATTAGATCCTAAACCTAGAGTCTCCTTTGGCAATAATTAACAATACTAGAAAAATTCTCATTGACATTCCTTCAATCAAAAGTAATCATATATCTTAATATTAACATATCTTATTTAATATCAACATCTAAAGTGCACACAGCTTGAATATGAGACAATATGGCAATTTGAACCTCACCCTTTGGCTTGACTACATTCCAACTGTTTATAAACAGCCTCCATCTTTACACAAATAAGCCCTAAGAATGTGCTTTGTTTCTACTTTGCTGTCTACAAACTGAAATGTTACCCATAATCATACTGTAGCGACACTTCCTTAGCCACAATGCTGGATTTGGTATCTTGCTTTCGCATGCTTTCCTCCCTTCCCCCCAAAAAAACCCCCCCCCATTCTTGCCATTACTATCATGTTTCTAACTAACCATGTGTCTAACCTATGCTTTCCCCCAGGTTTTTTTCTACTTGGCTAAAAATATTAAGATTGAATTATACAGTCACACGTAAGATACCACCACTAATCTTTTACCTAAAAGGCGTCACAAAAGGACAACTCAGTTACTGCACTATCTTTGCTTTTCTGTCTTGTCATTTTCATACGTTGGGTCTCATAGTGGGGGGAAATAGGACTGGCAATATTTTAAATGAATACTTTGAAAGTAGCTCAAGGCAGCGATCCCCTCCCCCTTCTTTCACGCTACCAACCACCCTGCAAGGCAGTCGTGGTCTTCGGACGAGAGAGAAACACTGGGTGCTTCTTCTTCTAGCTCCTCTCGTCTCAGCGAGTTCAATGACCATCGCGGTGCCAGGCGCTGTACAAACAGGAACATCCAGCTCGCCAGGCGGAAGTAGCCCATCTCCATTTCGGCCCGTCAGTCACCCTCCCACCCTCACCTTGACCAGAGAACAAAGCAAGCAGGCCCGCAAGTGCTGCAGGTCCTTCGGCACCGTCTCCAACGCCATGGCAGCCACACACCGGCAAACACACGAACGACGAGAAATTAACGATTTTTTTTAAAAAAAACCCTCAGCTATTACTTCCGGTTTCTTTTATTCCGGCAAGCATCACATCCTGCTCAAACTCCGCCTAGCTCTTCTTCCGCTTGTGTGGGTTTATTCGGCCGCACTCGTTCGTACGCCCGGCTCTCATTGCGCATGCGCACCTTCTAGGGCGGGTTTAACGCGCCATCAAAGGGTCCGGAGCCTAGCAACCCTGTGTGATTGTCGTCAGCCGTCCTATTGTAGATACCGCCCCCAGCTGGAGTGAGACTGGGGATTGTTTGCAAGTGGGAGGGATTTAGAAAGGGAGTGCTTCGCGCCCAAAAAAATGAAAGAAACCTGCAATAATCTCAGAGTTAAACTGTTGCTTTATCCAAAACAGTTCCCCTCCTCAAAGCAACAACTTCTGTTGGATGATTTAAAATTCTTCTTCTAGCCTTGATGATAACCTGAGAAAATGCGAATTATGAACACCCGACGGACATGCACGATGAAAGCGAGGGAAAACACACCGGTGCATAATAGGCCTTTGAAACAAACACCCCGTTTGTTCAGATTTATACTTTAAAGATCAATAAAGATCAATTACTTGGAAGATTTTGTAAAAGGTTTTGATAAAGGGAGGGGTCTATTCGGGTGGGTAGTTGTGTTGGTCTGAAGCAGCAAAACAAAGTTTGAGTCCAGTGGCACCTTTTAAGACCAACAAAGTTTTATTGGAGGGGGTCGATATAGATTTTTTTTTTAATTAACTTACCTGGCTGCTTCTTGCTCCTCATGGCCCAATTGAGGGCTGCTGGGGGCAAGGGGTGGGGCTTGTTGCATGGGCCCGCCCCCTGGGCTCTTTACTGCCGGAGCTCCGCTCCTGTGCGCTCCTGCAGGAAATGACCCCTGAGTCACACTATGTTCTGTATTCCTTACTCTCAAGTAGAGCATACCTGGGGTTGCTTCCTTAGCAACTTGCTGTGAATGTTCAAGAAGACCATATTAGCTGGCTTGGGCAGCGGTCCCAAACATATTGTTGCTCATGCTGTGGAGAGGGGCCGTGGCGCAATGGCGGAGCTTTTGTTTTGCATGTAGAGGGTCCCAAAGGTTCAATCCCTGGGATCCCTTGCTAAAAGGATCAAGTGGTAGGTGATGCGAAAGACCTCTGCCCGAGATTCTGGAGAGGCGCTGATAGCCTGTATAGACAATGCTGACCTCGATGGACTGATGGTCTAAGGCAGCTTCATGTGTCCATGTGCTTCCTAAGGACATGATAATTTCATGGCTTTAACAGAGGATCAGACGAATTCAGGAAGCCAAAATAGCTAAATGGAGCCTCCATGTTCAGACGCAATCCACCAAACCAGTGGAGGATTTCATGGCCCTGCTTTTGGGTTTCTCATGCCAGTCATCATTGAAAAGAGGCTGCTGGACTACATGGACTTTCTTTTGGGCTTTAGTTGAGAAGACCTTCTGATGTGTTGTTTGGTTTTTTAAATGTTGCTTGGTGCTTTATCATTGGGAGCTTTTCCGCATACTGTGCTTACTCCCAATTTCCTTGGCAGTCGGTCCACAAGCATTAGAATGGTAAGGTTTGTAGACTTTTGAATGATTTCTCCTCTAATGTCACCGAGAAGGTGGCTAAGTTTCTTTACTCTGCTATAAAGGTACGCCAAGGGATCTCACAGAAATAATCTTATATTTATATTGGTGTATATGTATGTTAGGAGCTGCGGTGGCTCAAGTGGTTAAGACGCTGAACTGCAGTCTGTGGAAGGTCAGTGTTTCAGCAGTTCGAGACCCGGGTGCCGCATGATGGAGTGAGCTCCCGTCTCTGGTTCCAGCTCCTGCCAACCTAGCAGTTCGAAAGCAAGAAATTGCAAGTAGATAAATAGGTACCACTTCGGTGGGAAGGTAACAGCGTTCCGTGCGCCTTTGTGTTTAGTCATGCCGGCCACATGACCACGGAAACGTCTTCGGACAGCGCTGGCTCTTCGGCTTTGAAACGGAGATGAGCACCGCAACCCTAGAGTCGGATTCGACTGGCTTTCGAGCAAGGGAACCTTTACCTTTACCTTTATATGTATGTTGCGGTTTTAACTTACCTTTTAAACTGTATTAACTTGTATACATTTTTTCCCATGCCAATAAAGGCTACTTAACTTAACAGTGTGGGCCCAGTTCTTCCACACTTCTGCCCTCCCTCTGCATTTTCACAGTTGTGGGGCCAGTTTATTTTCTTCCAGCTGTGCCTTAAATAATCAGGATTTTCATGGGAGGGTGTTCTTGTCATCGGTGGCATCCAGCACCCCCTTTTATTTTTTGCACAGGCTTTTATTGACATAGCGATATTATGGCTGCACTAAAATATTGTTATATCAATATACCATTGTAATCGTAAGTTTGGCCGGTTCTCTGAATTCCCATCTTCCATTTAAAAACAAAGTTTCTAGCCCTTCTCCTTGTGGAGATATAAGGGAAAAGGCAGATATCCACAAGGGAATGGGCTTGAGACCAATGTTCCCTCTAAACTGTGGAGTCCTGTGAGCAAAAATTCTACTTTGTGAGCTACTGGCATTAAAGTTGTGAGCAGATGATTTGGCTACTACATAAATTAGTTTGCTCTGGAGCCATCCTTCCTGAGCTAAGACAAAAATGTGTGAGCCAGAGGCTAAAAAACTCTGAGCTAGCTCACACTAACTCAGCTTAGAGGGAACACTGCTTGAGACTTACCTTTTTCTAAATGAAAACTAGGAATTTAGAGAACTTGCTAAACCTGTCATCATACCAGTATATCGATATCAGAGCCCTGAACTGGATAGCCCAGGCAAGCCCAATCTCATCAGATCTTGGAAGTTAAGCAGGGCCGACCCTGGCAAGTACTTGGAAGGGTGACCTCCAAGGAATACCAGGGCCGGCATGCAGAGGCAGGTTATCAAGCCACCTCTCTGAAATGTCCTAACCCCACTAGGGGTCGCCAGAAGTCACCATGACTTCCAGGCTTGCAAGCACATGCACGCACATACAATTTTTAAAAAAATTTTCTAGATGCATTACAGTGATCAGATAAATCAAAATATATCGCTATCAGGGTTGTTTTTGTAAAAAAAAAAATGAAAATGAAACCACTTGTCTTCGGGGGGGGGGGGGGGAGGAAGGGAGTGGTTTGACAGTGACAGTCCAATAATCAGGAAGTGGGTGGAGAATGGGCAGGATAAAGAAAGCCAACAGAGACTTTAGCACATGTGTGTGTGTGTGTGGCTGCGTGTGTGAGTGATGTTATTCTGGATATTATCCCACCCAATTCTAAACCACTGAAACATGCATAAAAGAACTAGCCAAAAACGACTAAAAGAGACAGCATGTTACAACAGCACAATCAAGAGGGTAAAGGTAAAGGTTCCCTTGCTCGAAAGCCAGTCGAGTCCGACTCTAGGGTTGCGGTGCTCATCTCCGTTTCAAAGCCGAAGAGCCAGCGCTGTCCGAAAAGGTTTCCGTGGTCATGTGGCTGGCATGACTAAACACCAAGGCGCACGGAACGCTGTTACCTTCCCACCGAAGTGGTACCTATTTATCTACTTGCAATTTCTTGCTTTCGAACTGCTAGGTTGGCAGGAGCTGGAACTAGAGACGGGAGCTCACTCCGTCATGCAGCAACCTAGGTCTTGAACTGCTGAACTACTGACCTTCCACAGCCTGCAGTTCAGCGTCTTAACCACTTGAGCCACCGCAGCTCCAATCAAGAGGGTACCCTTCGCCAACTAAAGAGATTGTCAGGTACCTAAGGGAGGAGGGTGAACTTTTAGTTATGTTGCCCCTAAACCAGTTAATATATTAGTGGTGAAAACCAGGATTTTGAATTTTGCCCAGAAAACCAAAGGAAGACAGTGCAATCAATGCAGTACCTGGACTGGAATATCATGCAAGGCTGGTCCAATCTGCTTCAGACAGCAGTGCTGGGGGCGGGGGGGGGGGGCACCAGTGAAGAACTGCACCTCAGGATTCTTTGAAGTGCCACCAAATGCCCCGTGGCACTTTTTCCCTATTGAAAGCAGTGTCACATGCAATCCTGTGGTAACCCTTCCTGCTCCAGCATCCTTTGCAGTACTTCTGCACAGGATCCTGGGATACCCCTCTTGCCCTGTGGGTCCTTTTTACACAAAACAAACCATTTGGGGTCAACCCATCCTTGGAAGCATTGCAAGTTGGGGACTGGCTTTTGAAGGTCGAGTTAAGGTGTTATGTCACCAAGTTAAGGTTTCACTATTTGAAGTGTTCTAAGTATATTGTAAACAATATACAATATTGTATACAATATTGTTACAATATTGTAAATATTGTTATTACTGCTGTTTGTTGTTTCTAGTATAAATAACTATAGAACCCCATCTTGAATTTTATAGCTAAGTATATTTATTGTGTTTTATATTTACTGTATTGTTTTAATGTTTTAACTTGGGCACTCGTGCCCCTTGTGAGCCGCCCTGAGCCTTCGGGGAGGGCGGGATACAAATCCAAAGATAAATAAATAAACGAACATATTATTTGGAATCTAAGCAATTATGTTAATGGTACAGTCTGAAATAAAACCCTAGTCTTCCCTCACTAGCACCACTTAACTAACATTTCATCCTTCCCATTTATTTCTTTAAAAGACCTCAGAGTTTCCCAGGTTCGAGATGAGGAGAGTCTACGCATCCATCCATCCTTCCAAGATCGTAGAGGCAAGTGAGGCTGGGTTTTTGAGTGAACATTAGTAGCATTCCAGCCCATGCGGTACAATCAAAGGGAAAGGTCTCCTGTGCAAGACTCATTGAGATGAAGGGGTCATTTTGTAGAAAAAGAGCTAGGGGAACTCATTAGCATAACTCATTAGCATATGCCACACCCCCTGACATCACCGGAAGTGTGTCATAAGGCCACACCCCCCGCCCCCAACGGTCCCGGCTGCCGCCGCTGGCCTTGCAGCTCCACTGCCGAGCCCCATGAGGGGCCCGGCGGTGGACCTGCAAGGCCGGCAGGAGTGCAAGGAAGCCCCGCGAAGGCCCTCCCTGGC